AATAGAAAATAAAATATTTAAATATTGATATTTCTTTCTCTTTTTAATCAATAAAATGATTACAATAATAGCTAAGAAGATCAAATTCAAGCAAAGACAAATCTAGAGGGAGCATGGGTTTGCTTCATAGTAACAAGATAACAATTCAACAAGCAACCAGGCCAACAGAACACACTTACCTCTAACATGGTTAAATGACCTATTATTAGTGGGTCTTAGTTATTACTTTTCCTTAAACCTCCATGTGGATGGAGTAGATTATTTTACTATTTTATTTTCATAGGCAAAGTTGCTTAAATCACTATTTGCATTCCCTTCGAACACATGAATGATGAATGAAATTTTCTTCTTATTTACTTAGAACTTTCTCGCATTAGTTAAATTAGTAGCCATAATCTATCAAATTGGTGCTTTCATTAAGCTACTATGCCTCCTAAAAACACCACCAAAGATCAAATTCCCAAGGATTTGGATGGTACACTACACCTGATCAATGAAAATCTTAGTGCCTTCTCTACTTAGTATATATTAGTATATGTAGAATATATTTTAGTATAATCTTAATGATAAACTTTCAACAAATATATAGAGTTATGAAGTTTTAATAAGTTTTTGTTACTCGTAAATTTTAATTATTTCATAACATCATTTGATGTTGATTATTTAAATAATTATAAAAGAAAAAAAATGACCTCCCCTTCGTTTTGTTTATAGATTTCTCTACAAACTTAAGTTCTGTTGAATCTATTTTAACCCTTATTACTATATTAATCCTAATGACATTTCCTTCTCGTTCCAATGAAAAAGATGGATTATATTTATAAAAGTTACAAGTAATAAATGCGATTTAATAAAAGAGAAATGGAGAGATCGATCAATACATGAAAAACTAATGTACACGTGAATATAATACAAGAGACCAAATGAATTGTTGTTAATTAATACTTTAAAAGGCTTTAAATATCAGAGCCAGCCTAGCTAGATAGCTATATGCATACTAACACATTCAAAATTGTAAAGAAAGAACAAAGAGCAAGAAACCATGCATAGTTTAAGCTTAAAAAATGGTTGCTCTTAAACGTGGCCAACATAGGGACAATGTAAGCAAATGTTGGATTCTTGGTGCATGCCATGTGGAGGGTTACGAGTTACAAGGTGACAGCGTCTTAGGGAGAAGTAGCCATTGTTGTTAGCAGTGAATCTTTTTTGTGAAGATGCATCCAATTCTTTAAGTTTCCAATGCCACACCATTCGGCAACTTTTTAATATCATATTATATAATCATCATATAAATCGCTTTCTCTAAGATTGCCCCCAACCAAATCCTGCAAAATGGAACACTAGGCCAATTTAATATATAACACCTGTGTGATCTTTGTTATGCTCCTACCATTCTAAAACAGATTCTGTTTGCTTCACTCTATAACTATTCCTACTAGACCTTAATTAATGAGTTAACTCACTGAACCATTAGTAATCAAAATCAAATTTCTTAACAACTTTGAAAGAGGCTAGGAAAAGGAAATTACTAAGCTGAAATTAAGAAGTTTCCACTTGAAAATACTTTTTTCATTTTAAATTATTTATCATTTTTATAATCTTAATTTATTCATAATATTTATCATTTTTAAAATTAAGAAAGTAATTTTTTTTCTAGTAGTATATTTATTTTTTATTATCTGATTTAAATACTTAATTAAACAATTAAAAAGGAAAAAACAAAACATCAACTAGATGTTTTGAAATAAATTATCACTGAACATATGAATAAACTGATAGTACATAATTATTTTAACTTAATTAATAATTTCATATTCTCCACCCAAAAAAAACAAAAAAAAAACAGTTTCGTATTCGAGTTAATTATTAAGATATACAAATGTGTTAATTATGTAAAGGAAAATTTTTGTCTGTGTTTCAATTATGTGAAAACGTTGCCCCAATAATTGGAAGCAACCAATAATTAATGGCATGGCTACCTCGTGGCAATATCCTGCTGCTCCACGCACAGTATTACAGCTCACTCTCTATCTAAATCTTCACTCAAATTGAGAAACCCTAATCTTATAATCAAGAAAATTTAAATGATTGGAAGAAACAAAAAAAATTGTGAGTGCAATTTCTCAATGGCATTAGGACACGTGTCTTTCTCATTGTGGTTTCGTAGTTTATATATACTGCCCAAAATTGCACCCTATCTTGGTCATGAAATGTACCCCAAATTTTGATACACCAAAAGCTACAACAAGAAGTTAATTATCATTTAACAACACCATGAGGTCACCATCAGCCATCCTCAGGAGCCTCTCCTTGCGGCGGATTCAGCCAGCGGCGGTGGCGCCGCTGCCGGCCACCACCCAATTCAGCCGCGAACTCACGGCGGAGCTCAACACCCTTCTAGCCACTAGTGGTGAACATGGCATGCCACAATTTCTTGATGCAGCCATCACCACCCAAAAAATCGCCTTAAATACCCTTGCTCACGTTTCCTACGCAGCCGATGTGGACCGTGGTGCCTTGGAAGAGTACCTAGAAACCAACACCGATATTCTCGATGCATGCAACTACTTTGTGGAAATGATAGAGGGCACGAAGAAGCACTACGTGGACTCATTGAGAAACGTTGCACGCTTTGTTGAGAGCAATGCAACATCACGTGCGTTGGAGCAATTGGAGTCATGTGAAAAGAGATTCAAAGCAGTGGGAAAGCTTGGTTTGAGAAGAACAATGTTGAGGCAAAAGCTGGTGCATGACACCGAGTTCAGCGAGATTGTGTGTGGATCCAAGGCCATGACCTTGTTCTGCTGCATGTTTCTTGAACATGCTTTGTCTTTTGATTGTTCCAAAGGTGGGTTTCCCATGATGAAGTGTCAGTGTCACCCCATGAGTTGTTCATGGTTGAGGCTTATGCATGAGTTGGCAGAGAGAAGTGGTGAGAAGAAAAGAGGGTGTTTGGTGATGCAAACAGTGAGTGCAGCAAGGGAATTGAAAGAAGAGATTAAGAATAAGAGGGGAAAAGAGATGGTTGGATCTTGTGTTGAGAGAGTGAGGAGTTGCTGCATGGAATTGGAGTGTGGACTTGATTTTGTTGAGGGGAAAGTGAGATATTTGTATAAAAGTTTGATTGATGTTAGAATGGCTTTGCTGGGGATTCTATCCCAGGCTTAGAATTTTTGGATCTGATTAATGTAGTTATAGCAAGTTTGATTAGAAATTGAGTATAGGTGATTATGTATGATGCCATTTTCTGGCAGTCACGGATGTATAGATTTGATCTGAGACATATATTATTGACAAAAACATTGACCTCTTTTTCATCATTAAGTTTATGGCTATTGTTAGTTTCTAGTTTGTAATTTTGAGTTATTCTCATTTGTTTGGTCGTGTTATTTGTGCTAGTTTTGGACATGATGGTAGCTGATGCTAAGTCTATATTTTTGCCAAGTTTAAAAAGTTGAGCGTGAGCCAAATGATTTTCATTTGAAGATGAAGATCCGCCGCTAACACCTTTTAGACTTTTACGATCCACTATACTTATTTGGTAAATTTGGATTTTTTTATAGAAAAAAAAGCATGTACTAGCATAAATTATGACAGTGTCAATTAATACTCCTGTGAAAGAGAGCTGAACTCGCATCGTGGGAATCAGAAGCATATAGTGGAAAGCACTAATCCTGTAATTATCTATTGTGAGAGGTTATTATATGGATGCTTGATATCAGTTCTTATTTTATTCACTATTGGAGTGCGATGACGTGTAGAATTGGTTTTTATAGTGAGAATTCACAAATATCAAGTTCTTATACCTGAAAAGAAAAAAAGTGAGTCTTTTGTGGAATCTACTAAAGTCAATTAAAAACTCAAGTTAAGTTTTCTTTTTGATGCAAAATATAGAAAAATTCTATTTCTGAGATGCTCAACACATGTTTATTTACAACCAACATATTATCCCAGTTGATCGGAGAGAAAGTGAAAGAAAACTGAAAAGTTGACTTCTAGAGGCAAACTTTATTTTAAAAAAAATCTCTTTCTCTTCATCTTAAATTTCATTTTTTTTCTCCTGCCTCGCTTGCCTTTATCTTAGCCGTACATAGTTAAATGTATCTCTTAATTCATTATATTAAAATTGGTATGCAAAAACCTACATGGAGTCCAATATTTTTACGCACGCGTTTTTTTGTTTTTTTCTGTGTTGTTCTTATCATTTGATTCAAATGACTTAAAATCAGACAAGAATAATCCTAAACCCAACTACAGGATTAATATAAAGAAATGAGAAAGAATGATACTGATTAAAATGGAATATAATGAAAGAAAAACTTATTTGGATATATTACGATGAAATGGAACGAAGTTCTCATTTCTCTCATATCAGGGGGAAAAAATTAAAAGCACATAAAAGAATAAGATTGAGTAGGTCCTACTAATTTCTATTATATTTCGTCGTCACTTAAAAAGAAAGTAAGAAAGTTATAATTATCAATTTATTATTGAATTAAAAGCAGAAGTTGATATGATAATAAGGCTACAAGTAAACCCAATATGCAAGAAGAGGCCCAAACCAACAATAGTGTTGATTAATTTGTATCTGTGAAGCCGAATCTCTGTACTAGGAAACTATTACAATTTACACCTTTCGCTGAAGATGTATGTCTCATCTTCACTGTGTTTTTTTTTAACGTAAATTACACTCTTCTTTAACAATATGTGCGTTTTAATGGAACCGACTTTTTGCTATAAATTTTTCCTTCTTTTATGACTCTTACATTAGCAGTAATCAGATTCAAATCCTTATTATCAAGTTGAAATATAAAGCTAGCAAAAATCTGAAATTAATATTAGAACTGTTTAAAATTATATTTCACTTTTAAAAATCCCAATATCAATAGTATTTAACAATTAGTTGCCTTGCCTATGAGTATTACAACAAAAGATGTAGGGTACTGAAATATTGTCACAATAAATATTCCTCATCGTAAAGTGGTTCATTTACGCTAAAAGTATAACATCTTATTTTCTGAAGGAGGATAATGTCATTTTCAAAATTAAATAGAATAATACAATTTAAACATCTTGGAGTGAAAATGAGTACAGTTTATCATTTTTTTTCCTCTAATTCATCATCCTCATTCATGGTTTCCCTTAGACCGAGGCTTTCTGTTCCAGGCTGCATGTGCACATATAATTACGATAATTGAGTTTCATGAAAACAATGAGTGATCTTATTTGAATCCTACGTGTAGTTTGATGTTATGATCTCTCTTTGAATTTGTTACTGCAATTTTTCTAGCCAAACATGAGCCCTGTTAGGAACCAAGTCTCACACGAGAGATTACGTGCATGTTTGTTTTAGCATTTCATAATATATTTTCACGTCAATTCTGTCCGGAATGTGAAAGTTAAAACTACTTGTTTTTGATTTGACATGAAAAATCACGTTATTAACACCGAATCAAACACACTATATGAATCAGCAGAGGCAAAGGGCATTTGAAATTTCCTAGCCCGTGCACTGTCATAATGATAAACTAGAATTCAGAACACAAGAAATTCCTGTAAAAAAACAAGAAACATTTAAGTAGCCTGTAAACTACATTATCCTCACACAACTAATCCAATCTCAGTAGCACACTAGCATAGCTTCTACTTTTGAATAAAACCTTTTCTATCCAAGGAAAGTACAAAATTTGACTCACGGTTCTAATCACTCCCAAGCTGACAATTATATGAATGCTGATTCTTTTGTAGGAGGATGGATCTCTTATTCTCTGAATCTCGGCTCCTGTTTTTCTCTTGACTCCAAGAAAGGGCATCTAGGTATCACTCTAGCAGATGACAGAGGATTCAGTATGCTGAATCTCTGAAACATACCAGGACATACAAAGGAAAATCCTTGAAAAAAATTCATGGCAAGATGTCTTTAAAGCATGGTAAAACTTAACAATGCTGACTGACAAGTAAGAAATACATCTAGGAATTTCCTAATCCATGTAGGATTCAAATTATACAATTACTACCTTAACAGAAGTATATAAATTACCTAAAAAGAATTCTTACAAATATAAAATTATCAAACACCAAAGAGTAAATCCGCTGAAGATGCAAATTACATCCTATTGGAACTCCAAAGAAAGTTGACAATATCACTAAATCGTCATCAAAACTGTCTTTGGATGTATAAAATACAAATATCCATTTCGACTGGGAACCAGATTTGCGTTACCTTACATGATTGAGAGACTATCTACTTTCTGTGGAGAATTAAATAAATACCAGTATATCCTTATGTGGTTGTTTACTCGAAACAAAAATAATATAGCAAAATTAAATCTTGGTAACACTTCCAAAGTTTATCCACAAAAATAAATTTGTAAAGTAATCTGCCACAAATCTAGCTAAGGGCAGAATACTAAGCTTGGAACTAACAATATCTGTAGGTGCCACCATCTAAAGCTAATCAGAGAATACATCAAGACGCAGAATCAATACAAAGTGAATTGTCTTTATCTAACCTTTTTTTTTTTTTTTTTTCTTTTTTTTTTTAAAAAAGGGGGTAAAACCATGGAACTAACAATATCTGTAGGTGCCACCATCTAAAGCTAATCAGAGAATACATCAAGACGCAGAATCAATACAAAGTGAATTGTCTTTATCTAACCTTTTTTTTTTTTTTTTTCCTTCTATTTGTTACAAAAGGAGTAGAAGCACACCAAGAAGGATATTAGCAAAAGGAATTTTATGGTGAATAACAAGACTCAGTCAATCCAAAGTGAATAGTCTTATCTATCTTTTTCTTCTTTCTTTCTGTTTTTTTGTTTAAAAAGGGAGTGGAAGCAGGAACAAGAGGGATATTGGAAGAAATTGTAAAAAAGGGTCTTAAAGTGAATAATATTCGTGATAATTTGGTTTTAAATCGAGCCTAAAGATATTCTGTAATTCATGTACCCAACCTCACCTAGTGATAATAAGATAATTAGATAAAGGCTATCATTCTTTGTTGTTAAAAAGATCCTTAGACTAACTCATGTATGAGAATTACTAGCACCCAATCAGGACAACAAAATTTGCCATCACATCTAAGTCTAACATAAATAATTCATTAATTCTAGACTTAAATATATTTTTTGTCCTTATAAATATACCAAATTTTGCTTTTATCTCTTCGAATCTGTAAAACTCAGACCTTACACGGATTATTACAATAAAAAATTGGGCAAAATGAAAATTCAGTAATTCACACCAAGAAAAAAGAGACTAGTTTAACACTCATAAATGTGTGAATTCGGTAATAGCCTACATAAAGAGTAAAGCCAGCACAATGGCAAAAGAACATGAATTTAGCAAAAATGTTATCATGCCCACAACAATGTTACTCAATATTAAGCCTCGAACATGAATTAATTGCCAACTCCTAAACCTCAATTTTTTCCAAGCATATAATATCAATTTCAACCCCACCTCCAAAAAACCGTTAGGGTAGGCCTAGCTGTGGTAAGTTAAAATGGTATACAAGACATCTTAAATTAGAACCTTGTTCCTGTTGTGTAATTTTGCCTACCAATGAAGAAAAAACCCACCTCCCAAAAGAAAAGTTCAAAATACTAACCTTGATGACAAATACAATCCTGAATCGTTATTTTCCCCACGTCCCACTACATTCCACTCCCTCCTTCTAAACCACACCATCAACCCTTGCACCATTTTCATTCCCACCATTCTCTTCATAAAACTTCTTCAACTTATAACCCATTGGCAAACCCCTTTGATTCATCTCCTCCAAAATGGACAGCGCCACCTTACCCATCTTCAAATTCACAAGCTTGCTAGCCAAACACCCAAGAAGCTCAGCATCCAACTTTTCATCCTTCCCAACAAAACTCCTGACATACCTCACCGCAAGCTCGTGGCTTTTCATCTTCAAAAGCGCCCCAATAACACTCATGTGCGTTGAGTACAACATGGGAACCCCATCATCCACCATCCTCCTCACCACCATCATAGCCCCCTCCACCTTCCCCGCCCTACACGCGCCCACCACCAGCGCGTCGAACGTACGCGCGTCCTCCCCCATACCCTCCTCCTCCATCCTCCTCAAAACTCCGACCGCCGCCTCCAAATCGCCGGCGAAGCAGTGCGCCATGAGAAAAAAGTTGTGGGCCGTCAAGTCCAGGCCCACTCCAAGCCCAGCCATGTGATCCACCACGCGCCGCGCGTGGCCCATCGATTTTTCCCTAGTGAGGAGGTTGAGGACGGGGTAGAAGGTGCACACGGTGGGGGCGCAGACTCCGTCACGCGCCAAGGAATCTATCACGCGCAGCGCGTCGTCGACGCGTCGGAGCTTGCAGAGGCGCGTGACGAGGGAATCGAGCGCGTTGCGGCGCGTGATTCCTTCATTGAGGTGGGAGAACGTGGCGGTGATGTTGTCGATGAGGGAGGTGGAGAAGGTGGTGGCGGTGATGAAGCTGAAGGTTCGCTTCGTGTTGAAGAAGCCGTCTTGGATGCGCTTGTTGAGGACGTCGCGGAGCGCGTGGAAGTCGCCGGAGCTGCCGGCGTCGGCGACGAGGTCGTCGTAGTAGGCGACGGTGGGGTCGTCCGGGAAGGGCTTCACGGCGAGGGTTGTCGCGAAACGGCGAAGCGTGGAGAGGGAATTAAGGGTTAGGTTTGGGGTTTTGCGGAGAAACGACATCGTTGTAGTTGTCGTTTTTAATTGAAGGGTGTGGTGAAGTTGTCATTTACACTAGTGAAGATGTGAATATATTTTAGTTGAATATTGTATATTTATTGGGAGTCGTAGATATTAAAATTCTTAATAATATAATTTATAATAAATAAATATTTTTAAGTATATAAATTATATTTATATGTATGATAAATAATTTATATTATAATACAAGATTATTTTTATCAATTAATATTTTCTTTTACAATATTAAATTTAATGTAGAAATAAAAATGTGGGTAAATCGAAAGAGATAAAATTAAGACAAACCTCAAAAAATTTTCTCCATAAAGAAGGATATCTAAAAACACTCTTATTCAAAAAGATACTTATTCTAATTTATGTATAAAAAATAATAATATTTTAACTTGCATAATACATAAAATAAAATTTTATTTTATA